AAGGGTAAAATATAATGTCGGAGGCTAGACGTACCATTAATATGGATATCGAAGTGGTTTCAATATGCCAAACGTATCTGTATGAGCACCCGAGTAGGTAAAAATCGGTCGTAGTTTTAATGACTGCTCAGTCGGTAAAGGCGTAACACTTACCGATTGGACCAACGTCCACTAACTCTATATATCTATCAATTTTCTCATACCTCTTTTCAACTGTCATCGTGTAGCCCTTATAAGGATTTAGGAGAACTTTTCAGTTTAATAAAGTTCGACCACATATAAAGCCCATCCTGGCAATTAAAATTCCCAGTTAAAATTCTTGATCTAAAAGCCGTTGCTTCTTTAGTTTACTATTTGTTTTATCCTGTGATTTATTGCCTTCTAAGAACAATCCCAGAAGCCCAATCCTTTTTTTTTTATTTTCGTTACTAATAGGTGATCATTTCATCAAAAAATCGCTTAAGACAAACAATACGATTCAAGTAGTAGGAAGGGTAGAATTGATAAAGCTTTTCATAATGGTTTTAGTGGTTCAGTTATCGAAGCAGTAATGTTGCTTATTTTAGCGTGCCAACATTCTAAACTCACCTTGAACGCTTGAATGACAAAATTCAAATAATTGCAATTGTAATATTTTGTAAATGAATGCTACACAACCCTTAGAAAAAACCAAGCCAGGCCGCCTGTCCGAACGAAAGCTCTTTTTTACCATTTGCAGACACGTTTTACGAAATTTCAACGCTGAAAAGATCCCCTCAAAGTGCCTAAGTTTCACTCAATTCTTTTTACATTTTAAATTAACATATTATGTAAATGCCAAGTCATTTATCTTAAGCTTCCTTGGCTTTTCTTTCCACAGTTCCATTTGGTTAGTGTCTGCACCAGAGAAAGCAATCACTTGATAGAGCTATTGATTGACGAATTATGTGAGAGTTGGTCCCTTTAGTCATGTTTATAGCGCCAATACCAGGACAAAGGAGAAAAAATCAATTGGCTCAACTGGACCAATCATTCTACTTGTCGAATCGACATCATTCTCAAAAACACCGCCAGAATAAAAATCTCACTAAACTGCTATAGATTGTACTTCAAGATATTACTCTTATTTCTCCTAGATTTTGACAACAGTTTTGCTTATTTATGTACCGGGCCAAATAAAAGCGGTCTTCACAATCGCGAATAATTTTGTTTAAAAAAACATGATCCTGTTCATAAAAGCACTCACTCAACCAGCCAAACTATCTGAAAACCTTTCAGTTTTCACTCCTTAAATGACATTGCTATGATAGCTGCTATGTGTTCATATATCAAAAATGGTGAGAAAATTTTAAGCCGCAATTGTTGTCGAATAGCTATATATTTAAAGATTATTATAATGTAATTACTTTGCCTCTATTAAGATTTCCTCAATCGATTCAGAATGTCAGACTGATGAACCATATATATATATATAGATTTCCTTTGACATTCGATTCACATTTCTGGATAGTACAAAAGCAATGACAGATTCGTTGCATCCTTTCGTAGTAGGTTTAGAGGAATAAAATATAGAAAAGAAAAAACTGTAAATAAATAAAATAAAAACGCCCTGAAATAAACTAATATCGTTAAAAAGAATGAAAAAAAAAAAAAGAAAAAACAAAACAAAAGGGAAACAAAAGCCACATAAAGGACGTAGCAAAAGAAAAAGAATGAAGCCGAAATTGAAAAAAAAAAAAACTAACTGAGACTTAAACAAACATATTTGTGGAGCCACTTGCTGCCAGCAACCAAATAAACATTGAACCTGTCGGAATGTCTGACTATTACGTGTAACAATGAACAAAAGAAAAGAAAAGAAGGGATGAAGCAAAATAATAACAAAAGCAACAGCAAAGCTAGAAAAAGCAAATATTTATCGAATATTTTACCATTAAGTAGCAACAAGAGGAAGGTACATATCTAAAGAAATACATCTACGAAGATACACACATCCATGCGTTCGGCTGCATATACTTATGAGTTTGTTTTTAAAGCTGTGTCAAGTTAGAGTTGAAAGGGCAAACAATAAAAAAAAAAGAAGAAAAGTAGGGAAAACAAGATAGAAAAACAATAACAATCCACTAATATTTAACAGATAAGAAAAAGCATAAAAAAAAAAACATTGATAAACGTATACGCACCCAGCTTATGCTTATGTACATAACAGAAAAATATATTTACTGATATCCCTTTAGCTATTTGTTTTCACTTCATACACATGCATGTTACATATGTATATAATAATTGCATATGTAGTCTGAGTACTGGTACATATTTTGCTATTTCAAAAATGCGCATAGAGACAATTTTCATATTTTATATATAAAGGGAACGAAAAAAAATCCGACAATGTTGCCGCATTTGATATTGTTCCAAGCCGTCTATATTGCATCCGGTTCAATAATCATCCAATTTATTATCAGATAGTAAAAAATGACAAAGAAAAGAAACGCTGCCCGAGGCTTTAATCATTAAAGTAAGTATATTTCAGACTTATTTTTATATACATATACAAGCTTCTTAAGTTTAAGTTGGCCTTGAAAACGTTTTCTGATAAAAACGTCACTCCTCGGATTTGATTTTATAGATGTCAAGTTTTTTTAGCCACACGTCCATGTGATCCCGTTTCGGTTTTAGTGAAATTACATCTTAGAGATATCCTACTTTTACATCTTCTGTTTTGAATAAAATATCGAATCGAGATTCGAAATTTAAATATTTAAATGGGGTTGGAGTTGAAGTTGAGTAAACTTTAACGCAAAAAAAAAAAAAAAAAAAAATTTCACTTATCGTAAACAGAATGTGACGAGCCTTTTGACCACCACCGAACATACACTTATAAAATGCATTTCCTGAACGACGGGAGAAAAAAGAAATGTAACGGCAGTATAGAAAATAAATGCTGTACGCATACGTATGCGCGGAAAGTGGTTTAAGAAAGTTCCCTGCGAATATTTTGATTTGACAACTCCTTCTCCGTTTGACCGACTATTCATAGCGTATATCAGGCAAATCAGGGCCTTAGCAGATTCCAATTGGCATTTGGAATTATAAAGGCGCAATATTGCCTCAACATTGCCCAGTCGCCTGCCACGACATATTTAAAATATGAAATTTTCAAGCTGTAGGCATATCCAGGTAGACGCAAACTCTATATATGCCTATTATTTCAATATATACTATCCACGTTGATTTTTTGATTGTCCGAAAATATAATGTACATTTCAAAAACAAAATCTTGTTTATTGCTTTAGCGAAATTTGATTGCAGCTATATTGTTTCGTGACTATAAACAAATTTTTAAAAACGTAGTACGGCTGATTTTACAATTGTCAACATCCATGCATATTGACGCATTTTGTTGTTTACTATACAAGAATTTTTGAAACGTGTCTTTATGAAGTTCTCTTGCCCGCTTGTCGGCGCGATTACAACAAATGTGAATGAACGGTGCGCATGTAAAGTTTCCCCTACTGAATGGGTGTTTTGAAAAGTTTAACAAACGCTGCTAAGTTCTAAATTCGTACAGATTTTGACAAGCTCAGCTGCCAACAGAAATAAAATTTCCTTACAAAGCCTCAAAAGAAAGAGGCAAACAAGAAGCATGCACCTCTGTAGTCAACCGCTTTATGTATCATATGCCATGTTTACAGATATGCGGCTGTCATCAAAAAATAAAGTGAACTTTTTTTATAGACTTATGATGAGTATTCATTAATTCTTCCATTATGACTCAACTTCATCACGCTTATCGTCTTCATAACACTCAATTATAATACTCCTTTATCAATTCATAATGTTCAAGGCCACGATAATTTCAAAAAATTTTTAACATAAATAAAATTCGATTGATCGATTGTTTTCGGGTCGTATATATATATATTTATGTCTTGTGTTTCATAACGTCCTGGTAATAAGATATCATTGTTTTATAGATATATCGTTAAAATTAAAAAACTTACTTTGGTATGCTTACAAGAGCACTTATAAGTGCTTCAGAATTGGAATATATTGACATGAAGTTCCATATAATATGCCAGCGACATTACTATCAACTAACTCATAAATAAAATAATTTGATGAGTGCATAGCACGCAACAAGTTTATATGAAAAATGCACCTTGTTTTATTTACACACAATGTGTTAAAAGGTATAAAAATGTATTGAGAATTTCAAAGAAATAAGTAATAACCGAAAATTAAAACATTTTTGATGAGATTGGCTTTTATAACTTCTAGATGCTCTGCTACTTTCAGCCGTTGTGCAAGCGAAAAGACATAATCAAGAATTGAATTCTGCTTTTCTTTGCGATTTTGAACAACAACAATCTAAACAATCCAGCCAAGTCGAAAAAAGTCGCCCCTTTTGTAATTCGTAATAAAAATTTCAAGAAATATATATGAAACTAGAGGATAATAACGTGATTTTATCTGTAGAGCTTTTACTTCGTATTAATGCGGATGCATGCTTGCTTTGCTAGTTATCGCTGCTGTTAATGTCGCTAACGTTGATAACGTAAAGTAGTTTGTTGCCAATTTTATTTCAATGGGTATTAAAATTTTGCTTAAGGACAGATTTTCACTTTTTCTCTTTCTGTTAAGAAGCGCACAGAAAATTATCATAAAATTACAAAAATATGCACAGAACACTATTCAGTGCTTCGTGCTGACTCTGCTGACTTATTTGTATCTTTAAAAGCATTTTATATATATATATATATATATATATATGTATATAGATAAGTATATCGTATGTAACTATAGTTACAACTTACCTGGTAAAAGTGTGGAACATATATTCATATATACATATACGTATGTATATATATATATATATATATATATATATATATATGTATGTATGGATGTGCACGTGTGTGTATGTGTGTAGATATAGACAAGTAATTTAAAATTTTTTTATTGCTGTTGTGCGGTAAATTTTAAAGCTGCAGATAATACAAATCCTTACTCATACATACACTTATATGTGTGTATTGCTGTCAGTTCGTTTTTTATAATTTTTCATCTCTTTACAGCTCTGTTTTCTGTTCCAACTGAAATGTTTGCTTAAGTATGAGTATGTAGAGTGCTGCTGGCTTCTTGCTTCTTTTTTTTTTTTATATCCTTAAATCATGTCGTTTAAAGTTACATCTGCAAGCAAAAGAGAATAACCCACAAACAAATGTTCAAGTAAGTATTCAGAGGTATTCAGATAAACAATACAAAGAGAAAAAATAATTTAAAACAAAAAAAAGGAAAAAAAGTTAAAATAAAAAACATTATAAAAAGATATAGACATTCATTTATATGTACTTACAAATATTTATGCACACAAGCATATGTGGATAGCAACGCATACGCGTAAGTACTTTTGCATTTAAGGTGTCAAAGATCCACATGGATACACATTTACACAATTTTTTTTTTTTTCTTTTTTTTTGAAAAAGAATAAATCCATTACGAAATTAATGCTTTCGGTGTTTTCCATACCAGTAGCAAAAATGACAACAGTAACAGCAACGGCAACAAACAGTGAATCTACAATTATGCTATTATCAGAGCTACCGGTCAACCAAAGCTAGTGTACGCGCGACTATATTAACAGTTTTAAACCATCTATACGTGTCTATAAATTCCACACAGTCAGTGTTTATTGCTTTCATAATAATGGTAGCAGCAACACAATATACAAGACAAGTAACTGAAAAGTACCTATAAAAATATAGAAGAGAAATTTTATCTCGATCTATTTGAATGAAGAGATCTGAACCGTGTTAAGTTGAGGACATAAATAGAAAGGTTGTGAAGTGCAAGTTTTTCTCTTATCGCTCAACATATAAATATGAGGCGTTTTTGGAAAAATTCGGCAGAACTTTCCTATAAATTCAAAAGTGTCCGATAAATTCATTGGATGCATCGTATATTAAACTGGAGCTCGAGAATGCTACAGTGAACTGATAAAAAATATCTCATAGACAAAAATTAATATTACCATCAGATCAGTCACAAATTCAATGTAAACAAAACGAAATGAAATTATGTTGATATTAAAAAAAAGAAAAAAAAAATAAGAAGACGCGACAGCAAACTGGTTATCTTGAATTATGTGATTTCACATCTTCGGAGTTATTCTTCTTGTTTATGGGATGAACAGATCACACATGAAGAAGCCAGAAACAATTGAAATCGTCCGATCAAGGATATTTCATAAACAGCTACAAGTAATATAATCGGCCGTGGCCCAACGTTAAACTCCCTACACCAATTCGTTTAATATATGCATTCCTATAACTACTTTTCAAAATAAAGTCATATATGTGAATTGGGCGAGAAAGTAGCCCGATCCGAACCATTTTCAATAGCGCTCGTTTTTGGGCCAAAGCAGGTCGGTGTATCAAATTTCAACAAAATATGTCATCTGTAGTTTCAATACATTCAACACATGGACATTCATCAGTCGGTCGATCGGTATAATCAGAGATGAGCTTATCTCAGGTCCTTCTTTTGGGTGTTACGATATATTTCATGATGCGGAAAGAATAGTAACCAATATCGAGACTTTCGCAGTTATGCGATAATTTTTGACTAACAAAACAAAAATAACACCTCAAGTATTGTTAGAGTGGGCATATCATGGAGTACGACAAGCTTGTAAATAAATTAGAAAACCTATTAACTTAAACAACTGCCGAAAAGCCTATAGATTGAAGAAACACAATCATTTCTTTAAAGATACTTCCAAAGCTATGTGTTTTGTTTTCATTAATCCAAAACATTGTCTAGACATAACGGAATAAAATTTGCAGATTTATTTACAAAGGGAATAGTTTCTTATTTAAACAGCGTATACAAAATAGCGTCCTCTGTGCTACGTGATTCACTAATGAAAATTACATTTTCTATAAAAGGTTTATTTACGATTGTTCATATATACAGAATATATAATGTATGCTGTTTTAAAGCATCTTCTACTCTTCCTGAGAATCCTTTAAGTTTCTTGTACCGAAAGTAAAAAATAACTATGAAAGGAATAATGTCATGGAAACTTGATGTAAATACCAGCACAAAAAACGAGCAATCTTTGATAATCAAAGTTGAAGAATTGTGGATACCGACTGTATTAACCTAATCAAAATTGGAAAGTGCTTTCTTGGTCCTCGTAAATATTTTTTTTTTATTTTGTTACTTAACTCCTTATCTGAAATAGGTTGACAACAATACATTGATTGACATTAAAACTTTTGTTTCTCACGAGGTTTTTATCTTCTTTAATTGTTTTTCAGCAAATTGAGAAACTCACCAAAAAAAATTTTTTTTTTATTATTGGGTTAATGGATGCTGTTAACCTTCACTGCCAGTAAGAAAGGTTTTTCTTGAAATTTTCCTTGAAATCCAGGCTTTTCGTCAAACGTCGAAACACCGTAAAGACAACCTGTGCGAAAGGAATCTTAACTGGAAACTTATAGCCCAATAACTTGCACACTGATTTCTTACCTTTCTCTTGCAGTAACAGATATCTTTAGGTAGTGTTTATCTTCACTTGAAAATACTCTCAAACAACCTTGCGTTAGTGCGGCTCCATTGAGACTTCCATTACACGGACATAAGGCTGAGAAAGACTCGAACGGAACCAGTACTACTGTCAAAAAAATGTGATCAATACGGCTATAGAATTACACATTTTCGTGATGTTTTTTTCATTATTTCGGAACGCGTGAACTCTAACACGGGCGACTCAGGTACAGCAAAAACGAAAAGTTTTAGCATAAAATTTCCGAGGAAAGAGAATGAGGCAAATTATTAGCAAACAAAGCAGGGCAGTTTCATGCCCCTGGCATTCCAGACAAAGTGTACGTCCGTGGGACATTACTATAGGCTAGATCGAATGAGAGAAGTCGCCCACCTTTACTCAATGTCCGCCCGAGTAGCCGAGCAAATCTCAATGCGATAGAGTTTTCTTTGGTTGTACGCTGTAGCTAGTGCTCAGTCGGTAAAACGATAACACCATCACACTAGGACAGTCGCAAGAACTATTTCCCGATTTCTTTCTCTTTCCCCTCTTTTTCTCTGACGATCACCGTAGTATATGAATAGCAAAAATACAGTGCAGTATCGACATTTCATGTTTCTCCCTAATTTACAAAAAAAAAAAAAAAAAAAAGTAGTGACACTAAAAGCTTTGGTTATAGCCTCGTAAGACCTTCTTTCCTGTTTGTTTTTTTTTTTTTTTGTTCTTTTTGTTGCTAATACAGTTTTGTAGCGTTAGTAAACTTTCTTTTCGTTATTCGGATAGCATATGAATCTCATGTTCATACACTTCATGTCTTCCCTGGGGATTATCCACCAAAGACCTATTTTTAAGGATTATCGTAAGAATGAAAGAACTACTCATTAGTTGAGTGAAATAAGTGACGATCAGAAGAAACGATGTACAGTAAAAGCTCCTTATTCGCGATTTCACTAATCGCGGATGAAAAAAATGCGACCAATTCCCATATTTGCGGCTATAAATTTCTTTATTCGCGATTTTTGAGAATGTAAATAAACAGAATGAAAGGAAACTTATTACTCAATGAATAAAGTATTGTAGCGAAAATCCCAAATCTACTTCATTTCAGCTAAGTAATTTCCTCAAATAAAAAATTGCCTAAAGAGGGAAAAAAATGTTTTTTTATTTTGTCACCTAGGAACGTATCCCCTATAATCCCATATAAATTACCATTCCGTATTCGCGGCATTTTTATGGAACCTATTCCTCGCGATAAAGTTTTATGTATTATACTTGCAATTGTGTAATGAACATACAGATCGTTAGGACTAATGAATCTAATGATACGGGTGTGAAAATTTAAATATATAAAATAGAAAAAAATAAAAAAACTGGAAATATTTTTCTTGAATTAATTGCCAATGAATTCAAAGCAGCAACACGTACGTGTTCGTATTGTTCTTCAACATGTTCAAATTATATTCGATTCAATTTAACCAATTAGTTCAACAAATTTACGCCTACACCTTCACTCAGTAGAGACAGAATGCTTATATTAAAGGTAATTTATTTCCACTTAATTCCGATTTGGTCTCCCGAACACATTGTAATAAATAAAAAAAAAAGAAGTAAAATAAAAAACACACCAGCCAACTAGCGTATGAATGAATAAATGAATTCGAGAGAACGAAAATCCACTCACAAGAAAATTAAGTACATACAGAGATAAATATGTGCACAAACACGTGCGTCGCTTAAATATGAATAGAGAAAAGTAAGCGTAAGGAAACTTTATGAACGACAAATGAAAAATAATTTTTCAACAAAGCGAAGCCAAGCAACAAATTTAAGGTTAATTAACTTTGACACCTTAAATGTCAGTCATTCTATTTATTTGTCTATACGTGTAGGTATATAAAATAAGGAGGAAGTTTTTTAGACACACACATACAACGGTATACATTCAGAAAGTGATTCTACAAGTTAACCTTTAGAAGAAATAAGACATAAGAACACAAAAAACAAAAAAAAAAAAAAACAAAAAAAAAATTGAACAGCAAAAGATTCATTACAAGCATGTACGTCGAATAAGCTGAAATTTAAGGAATTTTTGTGAGTATCAATAATATATTAGGTCGAGAAATAAATTTCTCGAAATTTTGTTGTAAAATTCAATTTTATTGAGAATTAACTTGAAAGTTTAATAATCAAAGTAGCTACCAGCTATGGTCTTTTGCCATTGGCCGGTTAAGTTACGAGGTGACGTAGTCATCGACACTATTTTCCCGTATCTTCAACTTTGCAAATCGGCTGCTCTTCTAAATATGAATGCAATGGTAATCGGAAGAAGACAGGTTTAAAGCGTAATCCATTTGCTGAAGAAACTCCCTGCCAGAGTTAAAGAAGACGTCTTAGGTTGCTTTTGCTAAAAACGGACGGACAATACGAATTTGGTCGTCTTTAAAACAAAACTTGTTTGTCCGAAATCCCGCAAACCATTTTCCAACTCCTTCCTAGCTTATTGTATTCTCAATCCAAGCCAACTAAATCGTCAATTGAGATCCAACTCTTTTCACTATGATATGCATTGAGAGGCGTCCTATAAGCACATGAAACTTATACCGCGCAAGCATCAATGCCCATAAGCTCCCTGTACCCAATA